GTAGTGCATCACCTCTACTGAGCTCCACCTCTACCAGCTCGCTGCAACCGTTCAAATTGTGCTGAACAGAACAGCGGCGTGATCCAAAGTGTCACATGGCACTGGTGCCCGCCCAGCAGGAGGCTGGCACTGGGCAGCCAAGTGAGCTTACAGAGTTCTGGCCTGGCCTACACCTGTCCCACCACTGCTCTGAAACAGCTTTCTCTCAGGCACTGCCTACTACCACTTCAGAGACATACACATATACATATATATATATGGTTGGGGGTTTTCTTGTGGTTGTTTTTTTCCCCCCCTCACTTTTCAGAGCTAGCTCTGTAGCATTTCTGCACTCAGAAAGTTCCTGGGATGTTGGATCTTTTGTAAAAATGTACTTGATTAAAGTTGCTCAAAATGCTGGATTTTAGGCCTGGATTTTTAAAGGTGATAAGCTGTTTTCTAAATCATGCTTTAGGCCCTCAGATAGGTCAGCTGGGGGAAAACCCACCTGAAACCTTTTCTGCAAGGCACAGTAGTGAGTACAAGAGGGGTTTCCCATGCCATGGGTCAATAATTCAGACAGAGCTGCAGAGCCAGAGCTGACTGTTCCCTAATTTTCCACACACCTTTGTAAAAACACGTGCTGTCAGGAGGACTTCAATCATCACAGTGATAATAACCATCACATATTGTAGAGTTAAACACATTTCATACAACTACATCAAAACATTATTCATAATACTCTTAAAATATCTACGTTTCTTTCAATACCTGCCTGTCTCCCCTCAGCTAAAATAAATTATTCTTAAGGAATCTGCTGTGTCTCCCAGCAGTCACTCCTAATTTACATTTAAAGATGTGAATCAGACCCACTAGACTCCTGATACACCTCACACAGAGATTGATCACAGCTGTTGGGATGATGGAGACTAAGACAGACCCATTTGAAATCAGTGTAACTGAGACTGTAATGAACCTGCTACCACACTCAGCTTCAGGACAGACTCAAACCCCATTTTTTGTTGCTCTCCACGAGCCCTTTGGAGCTACATGGGTGAGACAGGGTGCACTTGGGGCAGCTGTGCTAAGAGTTGCCACTACTGCCTTCTCCAATGAGGATTTTCCAGGCTGTCAGAGAAGTAAAGGTGTCAGGGAGAACTTGGGAGAAACAAACCTTGGCTATTCTCAGCTCCTGCTGAACACTTGCATGTTGTGTTTTAAGGCTGCAGCAGCAGCAGCACAGCTCACAAATCTGTTTTATTTTAGAGAGAATTTTTCCTCATCCTAGACAGATGTTTGCTTGTTTTCCTGATTCTTTGTTTTCTCTCATTCGTAAACATTAGTGTCTGTTGCTTACTTAAAGTTCTTTTTGCTACAAACAAGAGCAGTTTTGCTTACATAGCTCCCCTACAAATTTGCTTTAGGACACAGAACTTAATCTTAGTTTCATAACTGAAATATTGTACCAAATAATTCTCAAGTCTTCTGCTTTCCCAAAAAAACCATATGCAAATTCCTTTTAAATTAAAAGTCTGATGTGTTAGATATCTCATAAGCCTGAATCCAAAGGATGAAGGTGTGGAAAGGCAAAATCTACCTCCAATGTGGATTTAGCAATGCAAGTATGTGTGATTTTAGAGCTGTGCCCCAGTGGTTTGAGAGCTGTTTTGTACAAAATACATCATGCCCATGATGACAGAACACTTCTGCAGGTACACACAGTACCACCTGGGAATAACTTCTTTCAGTATGGAAGCAAAGTTGTTTTATTTTATTAAATAAAATAATACAAAAGCAAAGTACTGGAAGAGGTAATAGTAATTTTAAAAAATAAGAGAAGAACAAAGAAACCAAAGCATTTTTACAAGTTTACAGTGTCCAGATAAAGTAAATAACCGAGCAATATTTTTATGGCAAGGTGTGTTTCACAACAGCCTTCCAAGGTTCTGGCTATCTTACCATTCCTTTATGCTACACAGTAAATTGGGCACAAGCCTTGCTCCAAGTGAAAATGGGTAAAGAAATCCAGCAGCAAACACATTTCCCACCATCTTATGGCCATGCCACACTGCGTGCCTTGGTCTTGGCAACAGAGAAATGACCAATTCCATGGCACCAAGGTGTGCACATGAGCAGCAAACCTCCTCCTTCCAACAACAACCTTGTTTGGAATAAAACACAACTCCTTCGTGTCATTCCTCTCAGACCTGCCCCTACCACCGTCCTTCCCAAAAGCTCAGTTTCTTTGGTTTTTTACTGTTACAGTTTCTACATGCACCATGGGAATCCTCTCATTTTGCTGTGGGGTTTTAAGTGCTGAAAAATGTACTGTCCACCCACACAGCTTCTGCCAAAAGTCAAACCATCAGGCTTCAATAAAGAACTAAAAGAGAATCTAGATATTTGTAAAATAATTTTTTTTAGATCTTGGGTTCATTCAAGTCATGTTATTATTTCAGTAGAATCATCCCAAGAATCCATATAATTAAAACCACGTTAGTGTTAACAGAACTGCACCATTTGAGGGGCCCTTTGCTCCCCTCCTGCCTGGGATGTCCCCAGCGTTTTCCGTGACAGCACAGCCCCAGCACTTCTCACTCTTAATCGCTTATCGCTCTCTACCTGACAGGAAGCTGTAGGCAGGTGAGGATCGGCCTCTTCTCCCAGGCAATAGCAACAGGACAAGAGGAAATGGCCTGAGGCTGCATCAGGGGAGGTTAAGGTTGGACATCAGGAGTAATTTCTCCACAGAAAGTGTGATCAGACATTGCAATGGGCTGCTCAGGGAATCACGGTGGAATCACCGACCCTGGAGGTGTTTAAGGAAAGACTGGACATGTTACTGAGTGCCGTGGTCTGGCTGACACGGCAATGTTCGGCCACAGGACGGACACGATGCTCTCCGAGGTCACCTCCAACCTAAGTCAGTCCGTGTCTCTCTCACCCTGCGGCTGTCACCGCCCCAGGACGGGCTCCCAGCCCCAACCGACCTCGCTCCGCCCTCAGCACCAAGATGGCGCCGGGCGGCCCTCAGGACACACCGCGAGTGACGTCACAGCCCCGCCCTCCCCCCCGCGCGGAGCGGCGCGTGCGCGCTGGCGGTCCCGCTCAAGGTCAGCGCGGCCGCTGCCGCCGGCGGTTCCGGTTCCGGTCCCGGTGTGCGGACAGGAGGACATGGCGGCGCTCGGACGGTTGTCCCGCCTGCTGCTCGGCGCCGCCGCCCCGCGCTCCCTGTCGGCGCGCGGCGTGGCGGCGGCCGCGACACACGAGGAGGGCGGAGGTAACGGGGCTCTGCGGGGCGAGGGCGGAGCCGCGGCCCGCGGCCGGCGCGGCGCTGCCCTTGACAACTGGTGCCCTTCGCTGCGGGAACGGGGCATGGCAGGCGCTCGGTGTGAGCCCCGCCGGGGAAGCGCGGCTTGAACCGTGAGCGCGGATCCCTGTTACAAACGGGGAGGGGACCCGCGTTCGAGCGCGGGACACAGGGTTCATTAGTGCCTCGTTAATGCGCTGATTGCATTTACCGCGCTGTCAGGTTAGTTGCGCTCATAAACTGGTGATGGTTGTTCTAATTGCTGTCCCGCTGCCCCCGCCCAGCCCGCATGTGGAAGACGTTGACCTTCGTGGTGGCGCTGCCCGGCGTGGCTGTGTGCATGCTGAACTGCTACCTGAAGGCACACCACGACCACGGGCATCCCGAGTTTGTGCCCTACAGCCACCTCCGCATCAGGACCAAGGTACTGCTGCCCGCGGTCTGCAAATACTCTCTCTTTTCCTCCACGGCTGCAGAGCGTTCTTTGAGATTGCCACAAAATCTTTTCCTTTCTCAATTGCCACATGAGATGGCGGTGATCTCAATTCATGGCTGTTTCTGAGGCAGTAAGGGTTTGTCACAGCTCTGATGAAGTACCCGTGATATTCACAGGCTTTCCCACCCCAGAGTGATCCTTCTAAGTCTTTCTGAAAAACGTTTCAGTCCTAGATCTGCTGTACTTAAACTAATACAGATCCAAAAGTTAGCAGTGGGGATCCCAAATGCTCAGAATTGGGGTCCTCATAATACAGCACAGTGGATGTTTAAGTAAGAGCAAAGACTGCTGTTTAGAGACTGTGGCTCCTAGCTAAGGGAGAGAGTTTTCCAGCTCTTGCTCCCTACATCCTGGGAGCCAGCTTGCTTAATTCACCAGCCTGTCAAGCTGTGTGATCGTTTAGGTTGGTAAAGTCTTCTGAGATGGAGACAAACTTTTGACTTACCTCTACCTTGCCAACCAGATCATGGCACTAAGTGCTATATCCAGTCTATACCTAAACACCTCCAGGGAATGGCGACCCCAGCAGCCTGGGCAATTTATCCCAATGTTTAGCAACCCTTGTGAAGAAATTTCTCTTGATGTCCAGCCTGAACCTTCCCTGGCACAGCTTGAGGCTATTTCCTCTTGTCCTGTCACGAATTGCCTGGGAGAATTGATGTTTGAGTCTGTACTGTTCTTGGTTTCAGGTACTTGTAGGATTGTTCAGGAGCTGCCACTGGCTTACTTTTTTTCTTCTTTCAACAGCGTTTCCCCTGGGGTGATGGGAATAAAACTCTGTTTCACAACCCCCACACCAACCCTCTCCCAACTGGTTATGAGGAGTAAAACCAAGATCCTGACAACAGCCAGAACTTTGGCTCTACCTGTCCTGAACCAGAATGTTGAGTGGGAACCATTGTTTCTGGGATGACAGTTTCAGATACTCTGTGTTTCCTCTGCGATGAAGCTGAGTGGTGTTGTGGCCCCCGTGTGTACTTGTGATGGGGTCCTTTAAATAAACAGCTCTGAACGTGAATTTGGGATTTGACTTGTTTATCTGAATCCTTAGGGGCTTTTTAGTTCAGTGTTTGCATAAAGCATTAAGGTTTCACCGAGGACAGAGTGCAGGAGCAAAGGGGTTTGAATGGTAACACATGTTCCTGTGTCTGATAGCACAAACAGGAATGCAGATATATAGATTAAAATTCAATATATACTGAAACACATTCTCCATTATCAACTTTTGCAATATTTATTAACAGTCATGAAGGTGATTTTTTTTCTTGGTCCCTTCTGGCAGAGGGAGTGGCAGCAGAGATGTTGAGCTAAGCTCTGCCTTCACACTGTTCACCTTCAGCTCTCAAATTTTCAGCTACATCAGCACATATCTTGCTCACCACTCTGCTTTCCATAAATCTGCAGTCTGTACAAAGTCTCTCACACTGGTTTTGCAGAAGAAAACACAATTTTGGCTCTACTGCTTATGTTTGTATAATGTGTACTGTGTTATGTAGAAGCTGCTGGAAGTAGAAGGGATAAGTGAGCCAACAGCCTGAGCTTGTGCCAGTACAACCTTTCAAGTTTTCAAGTTTTTGCTCGCTACAAGTCAACCATTTTCCAGTTCTTATTATAACTTCTGTATTTTTTGCACAATGTGAAACTGAGCTCTATCTCAACTATCATTAATGTGGTTCTTCCCAAAAGGTAGAATACAGCAGCTGCTTTGGCATCTTACTGTTGAGAGGAGTGATGGATGGCAAGAGAGAATCTCAAAGTGGGTACTGCAGGAGGCCCTTCCCCATGTTTCTATGTGTTTTGTTTGCTTACCAGTACAAAATAGCTGAGACAGTTTTCCTGTGTTGAAGTACAAGGGCACAGTTGTGTTAAAGCTGACAAAGTCACATTACATTTAGCCCTACATGAAGATCATAGAAGAGCAAACTGGTTTTGTGTGTTATTCCTTAAAAAAGAAAAGCTACATATTTGACTGTCTCCAAAATGGCATTTATAGCTCCTTTCCTTAGACAAGGTTTTATTTATACCTGAGTGACACAGCGTTTTGCCAACAGCCTGTTTTTTCAGTGCTGTATTAAACCCCTGTGCTGAGACTGTAGGAGCTCTCTGCACCTGAGAACAAGAGTGTGGCTCACCTGGGTATGTGACTGGCACAGGAACAACAGCCTCAGGCTGCAGCAGTTTCTGATCATCTGCACAAGGCCCACAGGACTCAGTGTCAGGGGTCTGTGAGGAGCTGTGGTGTGGACAGGCCAGCTGTAATGTTTGAGAACTGTATTTTTTAGTTTGATGTTTCTTTTTTAAAGTAAAACCTTCAAATAATTAGTAGTAATTAAAAGCAGAGAGTGAAGCTTTCTTTTTTGCTCACTGTAATTCTAGGATTATGAAGTTATCTTTTGTCCCCAGGCCATAATATTTTTTACTCTTTCACCTGTGTTGGTGCAAGGAGAGGGGCAAGCTTTGTCCCATCCCCATGTGAGGATCAAACCACAGAAATGTGTAATGCTAAAGGAGAGACAATTCAAGTTCATGGATGTGTTGGTACCTCAGGAAAAGTTAAAGTAACCCCTGCATTAAAAGCCTTCTCTTCAGCTGCTGAGCAGGCCACTTCCATCCCTCCTAGGGGTCACAGTCAGACTCTACTGCACAGTTACCTACTTAAACAAAATATAACCTGGTTATATTTATTTTAGCCAAGCTGTTGCAGGTCCACTAGTGTTTTTAAACCATCTCTGTAACTGACACAAAACAGTGCTTAAGCTCTTCAGCATTCAGGGTGACATGAAAGTAACTTCTTCACCAAAATTCAGCAACAGAGATGACAGAAAGTGCATTAACCCTTTCATATTCTTTTTAAACACTTTCAAGTGTTATATAAATAAGCAAAAGAAATCGGTCACAAAGAAACCATCTCCAACCAGCATTCCCTCATTACCGAGTACATTCAGTAGGAAGTTAGATCACATGGATTTTTAAGCTGTTAGATGCTGAACCACTTTCACTGGAAAGGAGGCAGCAGTTACCACATGATCCAGTCAGGTTTTTTTCTTTTAGCTGTTTGTTTTCACAAGCAGAGAACATTCATCACTTCCTAGAAATCAGTTAACAAAAGTCTTATCCAGGTGGCATCTGTGATACACCTGGTGATGCTGCTTAGTCCAAAGGCTCCTATTAGTGACTCCACCCATACAGCCAACATCAAGAGGAATTTTCAGTTTTTCCTTTACTTGGGCCCATGAACTCCAGGCCCTCAATGGGTATGTCCTTTTCTTTGATTGCTTTCTGAAAATAAGAAAAAGAAAATCAAACAATTAAACTCGGCACTTCTTTATCGGGCTCCATGGTTTTATCTTTGGTAAAAAACTCAAGAGCCACAGAATCAAGTTGTAAAACACCTCTGAATCATCAAGTCCAACCTATGACCCAACAGCACCATGTCACCCAGACCATGGCCACACCCAGGCTCTGACTACACCACCTCCCTGGACAGCACATTCCAAAGTTTGATCACCCCTTCTGTGAAAAAATTCCTTCTAATTCCAACCTAAACCTCCCTGGTGCAGCTTAAATCTATAATCTCTTGTCCTATCGCTTGTTGCCCGAATAGAAATCATCTAAAAAAAAAAAAAATCTAGAAAACGTAATCTTAAAGCTAGTTTGAATGAAGCTTCAATGTTACAGTTCCTGAAGGATGTACCGAGAACTCACTGTCCCTCTAACAGAACCGTGCCGCAGCCTCTACAGAGCAGCCTTAAGAAGTCACGTACAATAAAAACAGGAGACGCCTGTAAAATATTCCAATATTCCATGTCGTGACCGACAGACACGGGGCAAGACAAACCCAGAGCTGCGTGTCGCTGTCCCTGGCGAGGCCTGAGGCTGCTTCTGGGACAGCGCTCAGAAGGATCAGTGCAGGGGAAGGACGCTCGGGGCCCGGGCCGGACGCACCTGCACGCAGAGCTGGTAGCGCTTGAACAGCTGCCCGCAGGGGTCGCCTGCGCTGTCGCCCTTGAGGAACTTCTCGGCGAACCAGCGGTTGAAGCACTGGTCGTACTCGCGCTTCAGCTCCGTGCACGCCTCGCCCACGCTGTTCATCGCGGCGGCCGCGCCGGGACAGGATGGGCCGGGCCGCGCGCGCCGCCCAGTGACGCACATCCGGCGCGCCGGCGGCGTCACGCGCGGGGATGTGACGTCAGGCGGCGGAGGCGCGATGCGCGTGCTGTCCCTCGCGCGGTTGCTCCGTGCCGGGCGGGTCCCCCCGCGGGGCCCGGCAAGCCGGCCCAGCGGGCACCGGCACAGCGGGCACCGGCCCCAGGCACCGCCCCAGGTACCGCCCCCGGTACCGCTCCCGGTACCACCGCGCAGCCGCTCCGCCACTCACGAGCTGGGACAGCGGGAACACGATAAAACACCAATGAATTTCCCAAGAAAGTGACAGCAATCTGCGTGTCCCTACCGGTGGCTTGGATTTGATGACCTTAAAAGTATTTTCCAGCCTTAACGATTTTAGGATTCTTTGTAAACTCTGTTTTTGACGTGTAGCAAGTTTCTAATTAAAAGAAAGCAGCACTGTTAAACCTCTTGATTTTTTACTTTTTTTGTCTGTACTGATGCTTTTGTACAGCAGAAAGTGTCGGTGGAAGTGCTGGACCACTTGGAGCACCTGGCCCTGGTGGATTTCCGGGATTCCGAGGGCGTGGAGCGGCTGCAGAAAGCGATCCAGTTTGCTGATCAGCTTCATGAAGTAAACACTGACGGCGTGGAACCGATGGATTCAGTGCTGGAGGACAGGTGGTGAATCAGAGCAGCCTCCTTTTATCTGTTACTGCACCAAAATGTTCGCTTTTGTGACCTTTTTTTCCCTGGGAATCACAATGCGTGTGGCCCCTTTGCTCCAAATGTCTTCCTGTGGTTTTGTGTGGGAGAAAGTTGTCATTGGCACATGTGATTTTTATGTGTGAGCAAAGCAAAGGTGAACTTGAGTTCTTTCATCTGTCTTAATTGTCACACTGCTCCCCAAATCCCTGCAAGTGGCATTCTTGGGTGCTTCAAAATGTTCCAGTATTTGTCTCAGTGTTTATTTAAGAGACCAAAACCAGATTTAGAGATAATCCACCCTTCCTACTTCATATTCACAGAATAGCTTAAAGACAACCAGTAATCTTTGTCCTTCAGGTGTCTGTATCTCAGAGAAGATGATGTGACAGAAGGCAATTGCACCAAAGAGCTGCTGGAAAATGCCAGAGAGATAGTAGAGGAGTATTTTGTAGCTCCACCAGGTATTGACTTGCTTACAAAAATCTCTTAATCTCGCCTGAATTAACCTGAAGAAAATAACCTGCCATAGCTGCATTTACTTTCAGAAATACTAGTCAATAATAGGGAATAGTAAAAGACATTACTGTAGCCATCTGTGTAAAACAATGTGTAGTTTATTGGTCCAGAAGCAGTACAGAGCCTGACCTGACTCTGAAGTTACTGCACATGTTGAGAAATTCCTTACAGGAAGTCAGACAGGTCTTACTTTCCTGGCTTTCTCGGGATATTTAGGCAGTCTGTACATGGAGTAAACTGGAGAAACACTTCCATGCCAGGGTGTCCTGCCCACAAGGTAACTTACTGCTGGCCTCACACATCTTTTTTTTTTTGTTTTCTCTCAGGTAACATCCCTTTAGAAAAGCTGCAAGGACGAAACACTTACCTGCAGGACTCTAAGTGACAGCCCAGAGCCCAAATGCCCTTCCAGTATTTTATTTGGAGAAAACAAAGTTTTGCGCAGTGACAGCTGAAACACCCTGGCATGTATTTTGGTCAAAAGAAGAGCACTTGCAAGTCAGAAGAAAGAAGGTGTAAAAGTTTAGTAGTGCTGCTGAAACAATCATGTCTTTGAAGCTGGATGGCAGCATGGCAGATGACCTTAGTGCTTTTATTTGGCAAAGTGAATTTGCTGTCTGGAGGTGAGAGCAAACCCTTGTCCCACTCTTAATTGTGCAATTAATTTATTATTTGTTTAAGCATCCATAATATACTCACATAGATGCCTAAAACATGTAATTACTATCAAACTTGAATTATTTCAAGAGTATTGAAATAAAGCCTGTATTTAACACCACTAATCCAATCCTCTGCAAAGCTGTAACACTGTATTATTGCTTTAGTCTCAGACTTGTCAAGATTCAGACCCTGCAAATGCTGAAGTTTTACAAATAAACAAGCTCAGGCTATAAGTAGTTTATGATGCATATATACATCAGAATAAGGAAAGACTTTGAAGTATCCATCAATCAATGAATATGATTAATACCACAATCATAATATCAGGTAATTCCCACTTTGAGAAGTCCTCCCTTGATCTATCCATTTTGGCTTCCTCTTTGACCATCAAAGAGAATGTTACACAGAAAAGAGGAATTTGAGAGGGAACTGCATGGCTGCAGGAGCTTTTAACCCAAAAATAGCATCAAGTAACTATTTGAAGGCAACAACTAAACCAACGATTTTGACAAGATGATCCCACATTCCCAATGCAGCTAAACTTAAAACTGCCAGTTCAGTGCTACTCCCACACACTCCAGTGAGAGAACAGACTGCCTGATGCTTGTTCCCTGTAGCACAAACTGCATTTAAAGTGGAAAATACACATCTCCTTAATGAAGGGGTTTGATGGAACTTCACCACGAATAAGGGGAATTACAACCTTGACTCAGACACCTGCAACCACCAAAAAGAAAAGCTTACAGAGGGCAGATGAGCTGCCTGTGGGGCAGGGCATGTCAGCCTCTCAGTGGGTCTAACACTGTGGTGCTGAGCCCCACTGGGCCCTGGCTGCACTTTGAGAGAGGGAGAGACATCCCTCATGTGCTGTTCACCTGTATTCACTGCAGGACTCAGCAAATGGATCCAGTTTCTCTGGAGACCATGGAGATAACCTCACTTGGACCTGCTGACATTTTTCTACCACCACAAACCTGTGGATATAAAATTGGATTGGAAGCCCTTGCATAAAAATCCCAGGTTTACAAAGAAAATTTCAATGTAGAGATTTCTTCACTTTTGTGGCAAGAAAATGGAAGTTGTTTTTTTGCTAATAATGTTTATTTTATGTTTTGGTATTAACTAGGAGCCCCAGGAAAAAATCTCTATTCATACAATGATAGGTTGTGCAACACAGAGTAAAAAAAAAAACCATCTCACGAAAAGTGCTTACAGTCTAACGTCCATCTGGGAGAGGAATCTCATGAGATGCCTTATCCATTACCCTGTTTTCTTCAGCACCTCCTCTGCCCCAGCTATCATCTCCTGTATTTGTTTGTTCTGCCTTTCCCTGCAGTTCTGTCCTGAAGGAAACTGTACTTACATATTCTTGATTAACTAGTAGGACTCTAATGTATCTCAGGCTTTAATGTTTCTCATTAACAACATGTATCTCACCCACACTGACATTTCCTGCAGTCGTCATCACAATTGTTCCTTCAGCAAACCATTTCTTAATAAATGCAGAGAAATTTGCCTGCAGCTACCAAACACAACCACCTCCTCAGAGATTCATGGGCGTTTCTGAAGTTCAGTGGAAGCATTTGGAAGATTGTTAAATGGTTCCATTCTGTCAGCACAAAACTGTCCAGTACTCAAAGAGCTACTACAAATGCTGCAGATACTGAACAGAGTTCTGGAAATTAATTCCTTACTTTGGCCTCAAGACCACTCAAAACTTCTTCATGTTTCTAGCACACAAGTAAAGTTGTGAACTGTATCTCTAATTAGAATGCTAAAACCCGGGAGTCAGGAGTTATTCCTGAGATATTCTAGAGTGACAAAAGTGTTACATTATGCAGTTTCAGTATTTCTGGGGGCAGTATATTCTTTTGAGGTTGCCTTAGAGTTTCCAAAAGCAAAGAGTTGCTTGCAGTTACGCTGCTTTTGCGCTGCATGACTCTGAGCAGGAAACTATGCTGTATGAATATGCAAAATGTTTACATTTCAAGTGAGGTGAATGACTGCTCTTGAGGTGGGTTTTTGAAAAAATTCTACAAGGAAATAGGAGTCCTACCAGCCAGCATTTGAAAACCTCTTTTAAGTCTTCCTGTGCTGTTTGCTGTAGACATGGTTCAGTCCTGTTATTAACAGATCACTGAAGTGTGGAAGACTCAACGACAGTGTTCTATCTGCTGACAAGAGTGTAAGCAGAAAGTGCCCCAGGGAGAGTGAAACTAAGAAAACAGAGCACTGAGGAGCTACCAAAACATCTTGCTTAATTTAAACAAAAAAAAAAAAAAAACAACCAAAACAAAACCAACCCAACCAACCAACCAAACAACCCCCAAACCAAACACAAACAAAAAAAGGCAAGAGTTGCAAAAATAGCAAGGTCTGCAAAAGATGGTATAAAAGTCTAATAGATTTGGTTCACTAAAGGAACAAAGTTTTCAGCTGACTTGATCCTACCTGGTAAATATGGGACAGAGCTTTCTATCAGAGGTCACTTAGTGTGACTTGAAAAAACACAACTGAAAACAGACAAGTCAACAGGATAGGTGATCAAGTGCCATTCACAAGCTGTGGAACTCCTTCCTTGGACATGGGTGGGCTTCACTCTCAGTAAAGGGCATATTACTGAAACAGCTGCCCCAGATAATATCCCAGTATTCTTTCAGTAATATCACGTACTATTGAAAGGGCTGTTCCCAACAAAAGCATGTTCCAAAGAGAAACAAAGTCTGTTGCAGAGATTATTGGATAACTCAGTATCTATATGATCTAGGCTGGGGCAAGTAATAAAATGGGTTTTGGGGCCCACATATCAACTACAGAAGGGTGTTTGACAGAAGCTGGTGGACATTTTAGAATGCCTTGGAGGAAGTTTTTTACCCAGGATCACTCCATGATGCCACACAGAATCACAGAATTAGATTGGAAAAGACTTCTGAGATCATCGAGTCCAATTGGTGACCGGACACCACCATGTCTACCAGACCACGGCACTCAATGTCATGTCCAGTCTTTCCTTAAACACCTCCAGGACAGTGACACCACCACCTCCCTGGGCAGCAATCACCCTTTCTTTGAAGAAATTCCTCCTAAATGTCCAACCTAAACCTTCCGTGGCGCAGCAGACCAGTAGCACGGGAGTCAGGACTGGAAGCTTTCCATACACAGCTCAAATCTACGTGACCATCCCAAACCATGCGCCCTGTGCTCCCGATACCTCCCCGCATCCCGCCGGTCGCCATGGGAACGGACGCGGCGCGGGGCATCCCGGGCCGCAAGACAACGCTGCAGTAAAACGCTGCCGGGTGCCGCGCCGCAGCCAATGGGCGTTCGGGGACAGACAGCGCTGGCCAATGGGCGCCCGGGAGGCGGTGCCGGTGGCCAAGGGGGGCGGCCGGCGCTCAGGGGGCGGGGCAGAGGCGCTGCGAGGCGCGCACGGACCAGAGCGCAGCGCCCTCAGCTCTGCAGCGCGCCGGTCCCGCAGCGCTCGAACGGTGAGCGACGGGGCACGGGCGGCCCCCAGAGAGAGACTCGGCCATCCCGGTACCGGCACCCCGCGTATCCCGGCGGCTTCCCCGGCCGCCGCCTCCGGTTTTCCCGTATTTCCAGCAGCTGCCAGCGGCACGCTGTAGCCAGGCGGGGCTCCGAGCACTTGGCCGTGCGTGCCGGGCTTTCTTCACCTTCCTCGGGGGAGGGAAGAGCCGTCGGGCCGGGCGATGGAGCGGCCGCGCTCTCTGGCGGAGCTGCCGGGCTGGAGCGGGGCTGGGCAGGGCCGGGAGGGCGGCGGTGCTCGTGTGGCTCCCGGCCGGAGAGCGGGCGCTGAACGTGAGCCGGCGTTGGAGCCGCCGCTGCTCGGGCTGTGCCCGGGGCCGTGCCCGTGCCCGGCCGGGGCTCCCCGGCCACGGCGGGGACACCGCGCGGCGCCCGAGAGCGCGCTGGGAATGGCGATACCTGTGGGGCTGCTT